AGACTTCCTTCTTGATGGACTCCTGCAGATAGACTCCCTCCTTGATGGACTACTACAGGGAGATTCCCTACTTGATGTTCACCTGCAGGTAGATTCCCTCCTTGATAGATTCCTGCAGGTAGCCCAACCTTGAAGGACTTCTTCAAGTAGACCCCCACCGTGATGAACTACTGCAGGGATACTACCTCCTTGATGGACTTCTTCAGGTAGACCCCCTCCTTGATGAACCTCTGCAGGGATACTACCTCCTTGATGGACTCCTGCAGATAGACTCCCTCCTTGATGGACCACTACAGGAAGATTCCCTAATTGATGGACTCCCACCCCACAGGCAGACACACTCCTTGATGGACTACTGCAGCTAGCCAAACCTTAATGGACTACTGCAGATAGACTCCCTCCTTGATGGATTCCTGCAGGTAGACCCCCTCCTTGATGGACTACTGCAGATATACTACCTCCTCAATGGACTAATGTAAATAGACTCATTCCTTAATGGACTCCTGCAGGTAGACTCCCTCCTTAATTGACTCCTACAGGTATTCTCCCTCTTTGATTGACTCCCACAGGCAGAGTCACTTCTTGATGGACTCCTGCAGGAAGTCTAATCTTGAAATACGTCTCCAAGTAGACTTCCTTCTTGATGGACTCCTGCAGGTAGACTCCCTCCTTGATGGACTATTACAGGGAGATTCCCTAATTGATGTATACCTGCAGGTAGCCCAACTTTGAAGGACTTCTTCAGGTAGAACCCCTCCTTGATCAACTTCTGCAGGGATACTACCTACTTGATGGACTTCTGCAGATAGACGCCCTCCTTGATGGACTACTACAAGAAGATTCCCTACTTGATGTACTCCTGCAGGCAGACTCCCTCTTTGATGGATACCTGCAAGTAGTCCAACCTTGAAGAATTCCTGCAGGTAGACCCCCTCCTTGATGGACTACTGCAGGGATACTACCTCCTCAATGTACTCCTGTAGGTAGACTCCCTCCCTGATGGACTACTACAGGGAGATTCCCTACTTGATGTACTCCTGCAGGTAGACTTCCTCCTTGATGGATTCCTGTAGATAGACTCCCTCCTTAATGAACCTCTGCAGGGATACTACCTCCTTGATGGACTCCTGCAGATAGACCCCCTCCTTGATGGACTACTACAGGAAGATTCCCTAATTGATGGACTCCCACAGGTAGACCCTGTCCTTGATGGACTACTGCAGGGATACTACCTCCTCGATGGACTCCTGTAGATAGACTCCCTCCTTAATGTACCCCTGTAGGTAGACTCCCTCCTTGATGGACTACTACAGGGAGATTCCCTACTTGATGTACTCCTGCAGGGATACTACCTCCTTGATGGACTCCTGTAGATAGACTCCCTCCTTAATGAACCTCTGCAAGGATACTACCTCCTTGATGGACTCCTGCAGATAGACTCCCTCCTTGATGGACTACTACAGGAAGATTCCCTAATTGATGGGCTCCCACAGGTAGACCCTGTCCTTGATGAACCTCTGCAGGGATACTACTTCCTTGATGGACTCCTGCCAATAGACTCCCTCCTGGATGGACTACTAGAGGAAGATTCCCGAATAGATGGATTCCTTTGATGGATTGATGGATTCCTGCAATTCGTCCAACCTTTAGGACTCTTGCAGGCAGACTCCCTCCTTGATGGACTACTGCAGATATACTACCTCCTCAATGGGCTCATGTAGATAGACTCCTTCCTTAATGGACTCCTGCAGGTAAACCTCCTCCTTAATTAACTCCTGCAGGTATACCCCCTCCTTGAAGGACTCCCACAGGCAGAGTCACTTCTTGATGGACTCCTGCAGGTAGTCTAATCTTGAAATACACCTCCAAGTAGACTTCCTTCTTGATGGACTCCTGCAGGTAGACCCCCTCCTTGATGGACTACTGCAGGGATACTACCTCCTTGATGGACTCCTGCAGGTAGACTTCCTCCTTGATGGATTCCAGCAGGTAGTCCAACCATGAAGGATTCCTGCAGATGGACCCCCTCCTTGATGGACTACTGCAGGGATACTACCTCCTTGATGGACTCCTGTAAATAGACTCCCTCCTTAATGTACTCTTGTAGGTAGACTCCCTTCTTGATGGACTACTAGAGGGAGATTCCCTACTTGATGGACTACTGCAGGGATAATACATCCTTGATGGACTCCTGCAGATAGACTCCCTCCTTAATGTACTCCTGTAGGTAGACTCCCTCCTTGATGGACTCATGCAGGTAGTATAATATTGAAGAACTCCTGCAGGTGGACTCCCTCCTTGATGAACTCCTGCCAATAGACTCCATCTTTGATGGATCCTGCAAGTAGACTCCCTGTTTGATGGACTCCCACAGGCAGACTCACATCTTGAAAGACTCCTGCAGGTAGACCCATTCTTGATTCAATCCCACAGTCAGACTCATTCTTGATGGACTTGCACAGGTAGAATCCCTTCTTAATGGACACCTGCAGGTAGACTCCCTCTATCATGGACTCCCACAGCCAGACACACTCCTTGATGAACTCCTGCAAGTAGACTTCTGCTTTGATGGACTACTGCAGGTAGACTACCTCCTTGATTGACTCTTACAGCCAAACACACTCTTTTTTGGACTCCTGTAGGTTGACTACCTCCTTGATGGACTCCCATGGGCAGACTCACTCCTTGATGGACTCCTGCAGGTAGCCCAACCTTAAAGGACTCCTGCAGATAGATTCCCTCCTTGAAGGACTACTACAGGAAGATTCCCTAATAGATGGACTCCCACAGGCAGGCTTACTCCTTGATGGACTCCTGCAGCTAGCCCAACCTTAATGGACTACTGCAGGTAGACTCCCTCCTTGATGGATTCCTGCAGTTCGTCCAACCTTGAAGGACTCCTGCAGGTAGACCCCCTCCTTGATGGACTACTGCAGATATACTACCTCCTCAATGGACTCATGTAGATAGACTCCTTCCTTAATGGACTCCTGCAGGTAAACCTCCTCCTTAATTAACTCCTGCAGGTATACTCCCTCGTTGATGGACTCCCACAGGCAGTCATGTCTTGATGGACTCCTGCAGGTAGCCCAACCTTAAAGGACTCCTGCAGGTAGACTCCCTCCTTGAGGGACTACTACAGGCAGATTCCCCACTTGATGTAGTCCTGCAGGTAGATACCCTCCTTGATGAATCCCTGCAGGTAATCCAACCTTGATGGACTCCTGCAAGTAGACCCCGTCCTTGATTAACTACTGCAGGGATACTACCTCCTTAATGAACTCCTGCAGGTAGACTCCCTCTTTGATGAACTACTACAAGGAGATTCCCTACTTGATGTACTCCTGCAGATAAACTTCCTCCTTAATGGACTCCTGCAGGCAGACTTCCTTCTTGATGGACTCCTGCAGGTAGTCCAACCTTGAAGGACTCCTGCAAGTAGGCTCTGTCCTTGATAAACTACTGCCGAGATACTACCTCCTTGATGAACTCCCGCAGATAGACTCCATCTTTGATGGACTCCTGCAAGTAGATTTCCTCCTTGACGGACTTGCAGGCTCACTTTTTGATGGACTCCTGCAGGTAGTCAAATCTTGAAGGTCTCCTGCAGGTAGACTCCCTTCTTGTTGGACTCCCACAGGTAGACTTTCTTGTTTTGTACAGAAAGGGTAAGGAAGGAGAAATAGTTACCACCAGTAGAAGCTGATGAGTATATTGAAGGTAATACATTGAGCCCACTCTTTGGTTGCAATCATCCTGCAGTAACAATAGGAAATGGATGAAGACATATATCTGACCAAGACCAAGACTACAGGTTCCTAAATAATTTTCACTACAGTTAGAAGAATGTCATTCAGAAAGACCCTCATCCATCTGCACCTGGCCAGCTGGCAGGAGCCAAAAGCTTCTTTTCAGGAGGCAAAAAAAAAATCGAAGCAGCTTGGGAGTTGCAAGTGGCAAACCATCATATGGTTCAGGCAGCATCCCTTGTTGTGCCCAGGGGCAGGAGCCCCCCAGTCATGCCTCCTAATCTCTCCATTCCCTGCTCTGGACAGGTCTGCTACAAACATCAATTTACCAAATGCTAAAACCAAGATGGTGGTCCAAGATGGTGCCACAGATTGCTGTCACAATGAGACGTGAGACATCCACATATCTTTTTAGCTCCTTTCTCGTGGCTATTCTTAAATCATCTTGTTCTTAAATCTTTATTCTATTTATTGTATTTTATTGTATTTTTCATTGTATTAAATTCTTGTTAACAGGTTGTGTACTGTCAAGGCTGTTTAATATGTTACATGTCATAAATGTATGACTCACCAAAACAAATACTTTGTATGTGTAAGACACTTAGTGACATTGACCGATTCTGATTCTGATTCAAGTAACAGTCAGAGAAAATCACCTAACAAACAATTTATAAAGGAATCTTAATTTGATTGGAAATTAATGTACTTAACAACAAATCTATGTATTTTAGTAACACTGATTAGCTGAATGCAGCTGTATAACTTATCACTGCATAACATTCTCTGTACTTGCTGTCATAAATTTAGGGGAATATACTAACATGTTTTATTAAATTAGTTGACGCAAAGTAAAAATTTTCAAAGTGAATCCATTTAACTCCATTCTATAATGGTGAACGATGCAGGCAAGACTTACCAATCAGTAAATTGGAGAGTAAACCACTAAGGAATATGTATCTGTCCAGTAGAGAATATATAAATATAGGTACACAAAGCTGTTGTCCTCAAACCAGCCTGTACAGCCATAATACCTCCACTGTACTTCACTCTTCACTCTTAAGCATGTTTTTTTCTGATGCCTGACTGAATACATAAAAAACACTGGTTTGAGCACAACCAGATTAAACTGACTAATCTGTTTAGACATCTTTGGACTACTTTATGGAAAGTTCAAGTTCAAGAGGCTTCATTGTCATTTCAGCTATATACAAGTACACAGTGAAACGCAACAACATTCCTCCCGGACCATTCATGGATTATTCTACCAATGTTACATATTTATCTTTGGAAGGACATGTGGAACTGGAGAAATATAGATATGTTTACTTCATAATTTGTCTTACAGTTTATATACTGATAATTTTTTGTAACACTGTTGTCATTTCTGTCATTTACAAAAGCAAACATCTCCATGAACCAATGTACATATTCATTGCTGCTTTACTTTGCAATTCTCTTTTTGGAACAGCTGCCTTATATCCTAAATTACTGACTGATTTTTTGTCTGAAAAACAAATTATCTCTCTTGAAGCATGTCTGTTTCAGGCCTTTTGCATTTATACATATGGAACATCAGAGTTCACTTTATTATCAGCTATGGCCTATGACAGATATGTGTCCATATGTAAACCATTACAATACGCAACTCTTGTAAAAATGTCCACTGTTAAAAAGATCTTATTTGTCTGTTGGTTTGTGCCTTCCTGTGAAATTGGCATATCAATAATATTAACATACCGACAGCTGTGTAAATTTAAATTAAACAGAATATATTGTAATAACTACTCAATTGCTAAATTAAGTTGTGGAGACATATCTGCTATGAATTCGTATGGACTGTTTATTTTAAGCATTGCTGTATTTCCACCAGTATTCTTTATAATCTATTCATATATTAGAATAATCGATGTCTGCTTAAAGAATTCAAAAGAGTTTAGAAGAAAAGCTCTACAGACCTGCTTCCCACACCTTTTCATTTTTATCAGTTTCTCTATTACTGGATGTTTTGAAGTGATTAACAGCAGATTAGAAGGAAACGTACCTCATTTATTTGCCATGATAATGTCAGTTGAAAATTTGGTAATTTCTCCTCTACTCAATCCTATTATATATGGACTTAAACTGCAGGAAATATGGAATCAAATAAAGTTGTTGGGAAGGAGAAGAATTTCTTTTTAGATTGAAATATGGAACTTTTTTTCAGTTTTTCAAATACATAACTGCTTTTTATCCAACTAGTTATTTTTGTGCACAGAACAGTGAATACAGTGATTGTATCCTGTTTTTTTAGCATCTGATTTTGTGAATATCTGAGTTCTTTTCCTTCAGTCAGGTGAAATCACAATTAGACTTTGGTTTAGACATTTTTCCTGTGAATGAAATGTGTTAAGTATTTGCTTTTGTTACTTAACTTTACTGTTTGATTGCAAAGCACGTGAAGCTGCTTTGTGTATAAATGCTCTATAAATAAGATTGATCATTATTATTATTATTTATATGGTATTGGATAAAACACTCAAACATGGTGTCGCCACTCCCATAGCACTGGAATGATCGTTAAGACTTATTTAAAATTTCACTTAAGGAAAATGTTATACATAATTTATCAACATACTGAATGTTGTACAGTATAGCCCTTTAACGATGAGACAAGAAGTAGTGGTGTATTTCTGTTGTTTATTCATCTTTTCTAATAATGTGTTTTCTCAATGGGGTTATAACTTCTATGTAAAGAAACAAGGACATGATTTAATAAAGAAGTCAGTTCATGCCTTTTTATTTTGTTTCTCTGTGCAATTTGAGCAAGTGCATGTATTGCAAACTGGATAGAAATATACTTCAAACTTCAGCTGCTTTTTATTTTTAGTCTGATGAAACAAATTAATAATAAGCCTTTAGAGAACCAAATTCAACACGTACAAGTACACATACAGAACATGCAGAAGTAAGTACATTTCATGAACAGTTTAGATTTTACATATTTGCACATACAGATAATCAATTCTTCATTTAAACAAAATGGACAGGTAAATATCGGAATTTAACCTATGACACTTAAAATTAACATTTCTGTCATACTTTCCATAATTGAAGTAAATGGAAATTAAATGTTGTTCTTATGGGGAAAAAGTTAGTATAACCCTACATTTATCACTACCTCCAATGTGTCAAGTCTAAATCAGGTGCAACTAATCAGCTAACAATTAGAACACTGTTAGAAAATATCTTATAGTGATCTTAAATATCTACTCAGAAGTTTGAGTACTTGAAGTCAATAGATTTCAGAAGAAAACATCTATAGACCTGCTACCCACACCTTTTCCTTTTCCCCAGTTTATCTGTTATTGCATGTTTTGACATGATTAACAGCAGATTAAAAGGAAATGTGTTATTTTTCTTACTTGCTCTTTGCTATTGGTGTGTGAAGTATTATCATGCCTAGATCAAAAGAGCTCTCTGAGATGTTTGTGAGTCTTGGAAAGGGTTTACCAAATATTGGAAATCAATCTTTCCACTACAAGTGGAGAAAATTTAAGTCCACTTTCAACCTTTCCAGCTGGCAAATTTGACCCAAGAGCAGATCATAAGATACTAAAGCAAATTTTAGAATAGGCTTAGAATGTGAACTTTAGCATGACTATCAGGACTAAACTCAACAGTCTTGTCAAAGTTGCAAGTAAAATCATTGGGGCATGGTAAACCCAGCTTTCTAATATATATGACAAACAGGTTCTAAGGAAAGCTAGTGCCATCTTGGCCTGTCCAGCTCACCCATTGCTACCAGAGTTTGAATTACTTCCAAAAAGTTGTACCTGTGCCCTGCGATGGAATGGCGACCTGTCCAGGGTGTATCCTGCCTTCCGTCCAATGACAGCTGGGATAGGCTCCAGCACCCCACCGCAACCCAGAAGGATAAGCGGTTTAGATGATGTATGTATGTATGTATGTTGTACCTGTGTAAGGGCCCAGCCTGTGCCGCTGGCCGCCAGCAGAGGGCGATGGTGGCAATATGCCATAAGTTCAGGGAACTCCAATTCCAAGAAAGCCCTCAGGCTGATTAGGCCCAACCAGGCACACCTATGGGCTCCTCTACTTAAGGCTGTGGCAAACAGCAGCCCTTTGTCACACCTTTGTAGAGGGGTGACTGGTACGGTACTTAGCCGAGGTGGGTATTTAAACGAAACGGAAAGGAAAAAGAAAAGGAAAGAAAAGATGGCTGGAAAAAACAAAAGAGAGAATTTGCCCCAAAACTACTTAAAAACCAAAAGAAAGCTTGAGCAACAAACAACTCCAAACCATACACAAGGTGTTTGCTCCACTAAGAGCAAACAGGTGAAACAAAGTCTGCCTTCCTCTCATAATCACAGAGGAAGTAATTTTTGTCTTCTGATTATCTTTTATTTCACCTTTCTAGTTCAGCTTTTGTTTGAGCACGCTCAAGCACCCATTTGTTGGTGTTCCCGTTATCGCTTCCTGGTGGTCCAGTGGTAACTCCTCGGACCACTGATCAAGACATCGGCAGTTCAAGCCTGGCTAACCTCAACTCCACTGTGCACAATCATCAAATTCACACTCCATTGCCTCAATAAATTAATTTAAGACATGTTCTCACAGGTTTTCCCCTTTGCACCTGGGTCTGCCTCCCTGCCATCCCGTAAGAACCTGCTGGAAGAACCAAGCATAATAAGGCATTTCTGTTTCAGTACCTTGTTGAATCAAAGCAATTACTCATTTGCATATTAACCCTGTACATACCTTAGGTTGTAAAATAGGACTTTTTTTTTGTGAGAGTAGGGGGTGATGTTATGTATGTGTGGTGTTGTCTTAAATGTTGTGTAGAATGCAAAGTTAACTACCTAACTTTACCTACTTGCTAAAAGTAGTGAATGATATCAGAACAGGTCTTGACAGAAATAAGCCTTCAGTTCTGGTGCTACTTGAAGGCCGTCTTTGATACTGTGGACCCTTAGATTTTTTTAGATATATCAAATGAGCATGTTGGCCTGTCTAGAATTGTTTTCAACAATTTTGCCTTTTGCCTCAATGATACTGGTGTTGGACAGAGTGCTGGGTGAGGGGTGTTAGGGAATTGTGCCATTCTTTTACTCATGATTTTTATTACTGCAAAATGGTCAGAGTGAATAAACATTAACTCATCCTGTCCTTTGGGTGCACCAACAGAAATGCAGCAATGACAGCAAGGTAAAGCTTGAGGGGTTTAGTGTAGTTGCAAATCTTCAGGGATGGAAATGGATCCTTGTAGTAAAAGGAGATGTCTTTCCTTACATGGAGAGATTAAGGACCTTGGCTGTTATGAGGAGATGTTCAAGTAGACCTTTGTCCCTGAATTGGGATGGACATTGTGGGCAGGTGGAGCGACTATGAGCTTTACCACAGTAGAGGTAAACATTAAGCAATTTGCATGAGAAGACAAAGCAACTTGCTTAGTTGAAGTAATAGATCATCTGGACATTGAGGTAGAGCAGGGGCCACCTTTGCACAGCAAGGTCACAAGTGTGTTAACCTCAGCATGGCCCAATGACATGGCCAGTGGCAGGTACTGTTTACTTTCATGTGAAGGCAGAGAGAGATAGGGGCAAAGGGGATGTGATTCTCTTTTAAAACCTTATGAAGCTTGACCATAGTCTGTTCAGAGATGGAAAGGAAGTAGTATTTGGAGACTGAAGTGCGCTGAAGCCATGGGAAGCCAGAGAGGGCCAGCAGTTGTGCTAGGACCCTCTGTGTGCTAGGCAAGGGTGGAAACAGCAGGAACAGGCTCTAAAAGAGACAGAGGTTACTGGAGCGGCAAAAACTGTAATGACAGAGGTAGTATGAATCATACACGTTCTGTCAAACGAGTGATTTATGACCCCCCACACTGAGTGATTTATGACCCATGATTTATGACCCCCTATGATTAACAAGATGTCTGTGTACCCACCACCACCCCCCAAAAGATTTGTGACAGGATGAGTTGAGGTGTCAGAAGTGGGTGTGAGCAATGTATATATGGTTTTAAGCACTTCTTCTCCTTCTCCTTCTTCTTCTTCTTCTTCTTCTTCTTCTTCTTCCTCCTCCTCCTCACTGGTGGTTTGCATGACTAATGCTGAAAATATCTATCACAAGTGTAAATCAGATGCCTCTCAGAGTTTCTACAGCAACACCTAATGCTAGTTTCTGTGGTTCTGTTGCCAACCGAACTTTTGCTCCGAGGAAGAAGCGATATTGTAACGCGTTTAGATATAGGTCTTGTGAACACTTAAGTGGTGTTAAGGTTAACCTCTTTGATTCCCTGGCTTATGACGTTTCTGGGGAGGGTCAGGCAGAATCACCGCCTACCCCTAGCGTGTGTTAAAAGGGGTAACATCCATACCCTGGCATACAATGACAAGACAGTCTCCAGCATTGAAGTCAACATGTTCTGGGTTCCAACGGTTTTCTTCCAGCAGGCCACCCTGGCACTAAAGGACTTGTGTGGTATAAAAAGACTGAGAGATTTGTTGAAGATTACCGGGTGCCAGACTCTGACATTGATTATACACAGCCCATCACAGGTTGCTTAGGCATGAACTACGGCTATGATGAACCAGTAGTAACTAACATGAAACCAGACAACATTTTGTTGGACCATTTCAGCAACGATGCCAACACAGACGGAGATGCAGCATGCAACAGCAACCCAACACATTGGACAATTACAGTTTAGATCAGTTGTGCGAAGATTATGCATGTGCAAATATGACTTTCCGACAACCGCCATTTTTTTTTCAGCAGTGTCAACAAATGGGGCTGTATCTAGACATCAGACAGGGTCAACAGGCATGGAAGGTGGTGAAATGCTTGTCGAGGCTCCTGAATGCAAAACTACATCCACACCACCCGATGATGTGGATGGTCAAATATGTGCTACAGGCTTAAAACTCAAAAAGTCTGCTGTCGTTTTAATCTTACAACATATGAAGAGAAGTGAACCACCCCAGTCAACTTCGACATTCATGTCTGTTTAAGCCAGATATCTTTGAAAAGTACTATGACGACATAACACAGACATTGTTCATGCCTTTATGTATAGATTCTAACAAGTCAACCTATGTGTCTATGGGTAAGATCCTGTCTCTTATGCCTAAGAGTAATGATACAGCAAAAATCAGTCACATACTTCGCCTATTTACATACAT